ATTGAAAATATATTTCAGATATCAGATAAAAAATTATCCCTAACAAATACACAGAATAGTACTATAGGACAAGATAATAAATCTAATAAAGAAGATGTTATTCGACCTTTAAAGGATTCAAATTCTGAAGTTAGGGCAGGTATAAGCTATACTGTATCTTCTAAAGAATTTAAAAATAATAATAATAAGCATAATAACTATTATATAACTATCTTTTAAATAATTTTTTTCAGGTGATGGTTATATTGTAGAATATTCATTAGAATATGGTTTCTTGAGATTATCGCCTGTAGCACGGCAAAGATTAAATATTCCTGTAAAAATCGTTACCTTAGATCCTGTTAACGATAAATGTTTTGGCGATGATTTTTCAAGATTAATACTCGATGAACTTTTAGGATATGATGATTTATTAATGGCAAGCATTAAAACATTGGCAGAGCATGAAGATAATCAAGGCTTTTTACGGTAAATAAATCTATTTATCTATTGTTCACATTATTTGCTCTTATATATAATAAATTTATTTTATTTTATAGAAACGTGGTAACAGGAGAACATTATCGATTTGTAAACATGTGGATGGCTAGAACTACATATCTTGCTGCATTTTTTATCATGTTAGTTTTTGTAAGTATATATATTTTAATAAGCAATAGTTTAATACAATTTATGTATGGATTTCAGTTATCAATAATATTTTAGAACTATAAATGACAAAATTTTTTTTTTTTTATTAGAATTGAATATTAAATATTTTATGAAACAAAGTAATTATTAATTTTTTATTTATTTAAATACTAAGATGTATAACTTAATAATTTAGAAATTGAATAATTTTTTTAAATTAAATTTTTCTTTCTATTATTTATGTTATGAAAAATTATATTACTTATATTATTGAATTATTGTATATCATTATATTGTATATCATAATATCACATTATAATAATAATTATAGTTCTAGAATGATATAAATTAGATTTAGTTTCATATATTATATGTTTTCAATTCATATATATTCTTTCTGTTAAGTGATTGCTATCATATATATTCATATAATATGTAAAAGGATATGGCAATCAATTCAAAGTAACCATGCACTGAGATAACTCACGTATAACTGTCCAATCTCTTGTACCTTCACATTTTGTGATCCCTTTGGAATTGAATAGTTGGATATAAATCAACTTTATTAGATGTCTCATATTCGTTATAGAAATCCCAAGTTGGTCATTTTGTATCAAATTATTCTCAAATGCATGTTTTATTACAACTAATAAAAGATAATAATTGTTAGAAATTTTGGATTTAAATCAGTAATGATTATTACTATTATAAATAATTGTTTAATTGATAAATGTTAAAAATATTAATTTTGAAATCTATAATTGTAAGTTTAAAATGATAAAATTTATAATCAATTTTTTTTAAATGCTATTTAAAACAGTTTTCGTTAAAAGGTAACGTAACTTATACTTTGTAATTGAATAAGTGATTTGCGTCAATGTTTCATTGGTAGTTGCATTTCAATATAAACAGTACGCATGTCTGATGGATTGTGAAATTTTGGGATATTCCCTGGGTGTTAGGAAGTGATTGGATCATATACGGACCAACGAATAGCTCCACTCGTGTTTAATGGGTTTACGCCGAGCGAACAAATGAGTAATATTGCATACTACTAACCGCGATTCAAATGCAATGCATTGTGGGGAAGTCTACATCTAGTTCATATCTAGATATAGTGAAAAGCCAATTATTTTATGCATGAATAATTTTAGTAGAAGAAAAATTCAAATATGAAACGGAAAAATATTTATTTATTATTCATTAAAGTAATTTTTGTATTTATATAAATGAATATTA